CAGCTTTGAGGCCCTTTGGGGGCGTCTCGGGTGCCTTACGGGTTGTGGGTCGTGGGTGGGAGCAGGGCTTCTTCTCAGCCTCCTGGGGGCCTACTGACTGGTCCGTGGGTCGTGGGTGAGAGTGCTCATGATGCTCATTGGGGTAGTATCGGAGAGCGCCCGGGGGGGTCCGGGGGCAGTTTTGATGCCGAAGCCGCTTGGGCGTTTTTTGGGGCCTCTTTCTAGCCTCGCGGCGCTTCCCGGCGGCATCTTTGGGGCCTCTTCGGGCTTTGGGGGCGTCCTCGGGGGCTTCTGGGGGCATCCTTGGGGCTTCTTGAGGCCGCACGCTCGAAATGCCCCCGTGCGTGTTTCCCCACTGGAGCCTCTCTTTGGGGTGTCTTGGGCTTTCTTAGGCTGTTCTGGGTGTCTCTCAGGCGCCCTTTGGGCCGGCCCTTGGGCCGTTTCGGAGCCACCTTTGGAGCCTCTTGAGGCGATCTTGGGGTCTCGTGGACCTTCTTGGACGCCGTGAAAGCACAAAAAGCGTGTGTTGAAACTGTATGTTTTCCCAAGGGGATGTGACGACTGTTTGCTTCTTGCGGCCTTCTTGCGGATGTCCTTGAGGGCCTCTTGAGGCGTCTTGTGGGCCCCTTGGGCCAAGCTGTCTTGGACCGCTCCGGGGATCTGTGTAGCCATCTGAGGCGGTTCAGGAAACGATCTCGAGGGTTCGGGAGGTCGTCTGAGGCTGGCTGAAAAGCTGCCAGGAGCTCCCGGGAATTCCCGGGAGCTCCCAGGAATTCACAGGAGTTCTCAGTAGTTCCTGGGAGCTCCCAGAAATTTTCAGGAGCAGCTGGGAAACTGGGGGTCCCGGCCTCCAAGAACCTTTAAACCCTCCTATCTCTGAGGGCTGCAGGGCTGCATGAGCCTTGGCCTTGGGGCCCTCCACTACGCGCTGAAGGCTTAAGGCACGGTGGCGGATACATCACACAGTTATTCACGCCTGGCCAGGTCCGTTTCCGACAAAGATATGTGACCGAACACGGCCCCAAGACGTTGCCGAAAGCATGATGTGCGAACTGGTGGCTGAAGTTAAGTGGTACTGGTGTCGGGTCAACAACCTACGTCGCGCTCGCCTGCGTTGGACAACTTCGGGCGCTGGTGTCAGTCACACTCGGGCAGGTTTTCGGGCACATCTTCGGTCGCTGCGCCCCCCCTGAAAGAGGCGAGGCTTCGTGTCGTTTTGCTGGCTGGGGGGTCCAGGAGCTCGAGGGAATTCTGCGCACATGCGCTTCGGCATTCCACAGGTGCGGTACCTGGGGCGGCCATGCCGGGCTCTTCGACTTGGTTCAAATCTTGAGCTCCCCGCCCAAGAGGGGCTTTACGCGGGCGAGGGGCCCAGCGCGACCCTCCGCCCACCTCGGCGGGCGCGAGGTTCGGTGGCACACCCACGGTTAACAGTAGTTTTGGTTGGGCGTCTTGGTTTTATCATTGGAAGGTCCCTGCCGACGCCACGGACGAAGTGGTCCATCGGAGCACACCAGAAATTCTACTGGAGCCCTGGACCCGATTTTGCGACTGCGGCTGGCACTGGCAAACAGCCGCCCCTGGTGAGATGTTGCGAGGCCAGGGTCGCAGGGTTTCACCTTCGGGGCCCCGCGAGGAGATGCGATGATGCTGGTGCTGGTGGTGGTTGTGGTGGCGATGATGGAGATGAGGATGATGGGGATGTCGATGAGGATGCCGATGGTGATGATGCTGCTGCTGGTTCTGGTCATGATGATGCTGATGAGGATCGCATGGCGTCCTCATCGGGGTCCCGCGAGGTGGACCCGCACAGCCAGGAGTTCCGCATCATCGAGGTCAACGCGCGCCTGTCGCGGAGCAGCGCGCTGGCGTCGAAGGCCCGCGGGCGCGGGCGTCGGCCTCGGCCCTTGGCGGGGTCTCCCCGATCATCCCTCCCTCCCTCCCTCCCTCCCTTCCCTTCCTTCTTCCTCTCTCCCTCCCCCCCTGCATCCCTCCATCCCTTCCTCCTCCCTTCTCCGTCGCTCCCCCCCTCCCTTCCTCCTCCCATTCCCCCTCGGCCACCCTCTTCCATCCTTCCTCCTCCCTCCTCCGTCCTGGCGGAGGCATGAGGGGTATCTCCCCCTGTCCCTTCTTTACTCCTCGTCCTCCATCCCTGGCCCAAACTCCACTTCTCTTCTTTCTCGGGTATTTGTTTCACAGGGGAAGAAGTGGATACCGCTAGTCGGCGGCACGTTTTCATCCCTTCCCCTGGTTCGCCCCAGGGTGATCGTCCAGGTGGTCCGCCCCACTTCAGCGAAACCTTCCAGTGAGCTCCTGGAGGAGTGCGTGCCCACCCGCACGCCCCCATGGGCAAACAAACGTATGGATATACGGAGTGCTCGCAGTGCCCCTACAAGTGGACTTGGCACGGCCGCGACACCTGCTTCAAGTTCCAGGCCCCCAACGCGATCCCGACGGCCCCCTGGCGCGAGGCTAAGGGGGCCTGGGCCGATTGGAGCGACCCTCCTGACCACGGCCACGCGGAGAACCGCAAGGGGCGCGGGACAGGGGATGGTGCCTGCTTTGCGGCTGGCGCCCCGCAGTCCCTCGACTCCTTTCTCCTTGTCTTCGAGGGCCACATGGACACCGATAACCCAACAGCGCTCGAGGACTTCAAGAAGAAAGTGCAGCACCCGCCAAACAAGGATCAGCTCGAGACGCCGCACGCCAGGTAATTACCAACGCCTCGTGGCGGAGGGGAGGCGTGCCCACCAGGCACTGGAGAAGGCCGCCACGTCCGAGCACGAGGCGGTCGTCTGGCTCGAGGGGTGCACGGCCGCGCGGCCGCGGCAACCGAGACCCTCGCCAAGGCCAAGGGCGAGGTCAGCGAGATCCTCGCGCCCATCAGTAGCGAGAGGGCAACGCGGTGCAGCAGCCAGCGGCATGCGACAGCCGCGCCAGCTGTCAACCTCACCAGGCTATGGGCGGAGGACCTAGACCCGCAGCCAGCGCGGCCGCCCCCGCCAGCGAGCGACGCCGCAGGCAGAGGCAACGGCAGGCAGAGGGCAACCACCCCCAGGGGCAAGGCCCCCCAGGGGCGAGGCCCGGCGGCCAGCGGCAGGGCTGCCGCGAGCTGTGCAGGGGCTCCTGGCTGCGCCGTTTCTCCCGGCGGCGTGGCTGCAGCCGACCTGGCTCGGGCAGCCCGCGAGCGCGCAGCGGGGGCAGCGGCTGCGCCGGCGGGAGGCGGCGGCGACGGAGCCGCCCCAGTGGGCTAACGGCCCGCCGCGCCGCCACGCCCGCGGCTTCGCGCGCGGCCGCTGCAGGAGGAAGCCCCGCCAAAAGCCAAGGGTTCAGACCATCGGATTGGATGCCAACGCCTGGTCGTCGGCCCTCGGGTGCATCGATGAGGCCACCGACCTGGCCTCTCCGCATCTTCTTGCAGGAACTGCGCCTCTCCGCCGAGTGGCGCCGGTAGGCGGGGGCGGCCCGCTACAAGCGGAACCTAATTGCCGCCTTCACCTCGTCGATTGAGGGCCCAGGTGGAGGACGCATTTCAGGCGTGGGTTGCTTGCCCCGTGCAAAATCGCGATGGCCATCCTGGGCGGCAGGGCCAGCTGCGACTTCTTACTTCTAGGGCCGGCAGGACGGATGGCGCCAGGTTGGGCTTCCGCAGGTCAATTCTTTCTGAACTACTCAATCATTGGCGACTCGCAATTTGTCAATTCTTGGTGCACTCGGGAATCTTGTTGTCTCGCATGGAATCCCATGGATTTTGCGATGACAGAGGTTGAGCGGACGTTGCCGAGTGCCCCCTCGCTCCAGGCCGATTCTTAAGTCGGGCATGTCTCTCTTCGGGAGGTCTATTCAAACATGATCAAGTAATTGTGCCAGGGGGATTCTTGATTTTTTGGTTGAAGATTTTGTTATGTCTTATCGGTCGCCCAAAATTCGCCCGTGGGAGGACATGCCCGACTTGGGCCAAGTCACCTATGCGGGGATAGGTGGCGGAAGGACGATCGATTGCTTCATCGTGGGCCGCTCCATCGCCGAGTCGCCCTGCAATGCCGCGGTCCTCAACAGTGCTCCCGCTCGCCAGTGCAGATCAGCACGCGGGCCAAGTATGGTTGGAGACTGGCCCAGCCGAAGCCATGTCCCATGCATGTGCAGATGGGATGCCCGAGGCCACCGCCCGCATGGGTAGAATTCGGGATGGGCCAGAGCTGGAACGATAACGAGATGCACCACAAGAGGCAGCTTGTCCCGCTTCCCTCCCTCCTCCCTGCTCTTTCTTACTCCTCGTCCTTACTCACGTCGTTATCCTCCTCTTCATTCATCCCCCTCCTTCCCTACTCCCCCAGCCATCAACACCCTCCTCCCTCCTCCGCCTTGGCCCTATCAACAGAGGTTCGCAGGGTCTCCCCCGTCGTCTGGTCCCCCCTCGCCTTCGTAACCCTCCTACACCATCGTGATTCGCTCCCCCTCCTCCCTCGTTTCCAGGCCGCGCATATGGTGCCTCTGTAGTTGGGGCCAGGCGATCGCACCGCATCGGCGATGGGATGCCATTCGGAACACGATGTGATTCGTCCCACGGTCGCCGATGCAATGGTCAACCTCCTTCCTCCTCCCTTTTCCTTACTCCTTCTGCTCGTCCTCCTCTCTTCTTCTGCTCCGCATCTTCCCCATTGCCCATGTTGGATCGAGGGGGTCGAGGATGGAGGCCTTCAGAGGCAGCCTTCTCCCGCCTATTCGTCCTTCCTTCCTCCTCATATCCCCTGTTCTCTTCCTCCATTCCTCCTCATTCCTCATCTCCCTCCCTACTTCCCTCATCATCCTCGTCCTCCTCGTCTTGCTCCGTCCTTTTCCGTCGTCCTGCCTCCTTCCTCCTTTCCCTCCTCCTTCCATCATTTTTCTTTTTCTTTCCTCCTCCCTCATTTCGCCCTCTACCCTTCCTCCCCGCTCCCTGACCCAGCGTCCCCCCCCTCGATTCTGCGGCGCCCCTGTAGCGAAGTGGTTGTCGCCAGGCGACCGGGTACCCGCTTGCGTACGTCGCTGCGAAGCTGGCCCTGGGCGGCGACCTGGTGAATCTGCGCAACAGCGTCACAAGGCGATGGGAGGACGGGGGAGGAGGGAGGAGGAGGAGGAGGAGGAGGAGGAGGAGGAGGAGGAGGAGGAGGAGGAGGAGGAGGAGGACGGGGCAGAAGGAGGAGGAGGAGGAGGACCCACTGTACGGTCCTGCCCCTGCTCCTCCCCTCGTCGGAACTTACCGTCGCCGGCGTGCGGCGGTCGCCTGCGTGCGGCGGTGCTGCCCGCGCGTGGGGCGGCGCCGCGGTGGAGCGTGATCGCCGCGCCAGGCTGTGAGAGAGAGAGAGAGAGAGAAACCAGGGGGGAGGAGGAGGACGAGGAGGAGGGGGGCCAGCGCTAACGCAAGACTTCACCAACCATGTTGGAACACACCCTTCCTCCAAGATCCCTCTTCACAGCCCCCTACAATGGTTCATTTCCCCTGGGGGACGTGCCCCGTTGGGGGACAACCGTGTGACAAGCCTAAATCGTGTGAGAGCACCATTCTCAGGACTTCAACGCCACGAGTCAACCTCACAGTTGCGTCTTGGTGATCCTGAGTCGTGCCAGAATTCCGATCCTGGGAATTAAACTCCGCGAATCAACGTAACTGTTGCGCCCTGACAATCCGAATCGTTCCAAAAAGCTACTTTGGTACATTAGCAATGAGAATATGTGGAGCACTTGCGAATGTTTAAAAGACTGCGCGCGGCGGTAAGGCAGGAACCATAGTTTCAAAAGGTACCGCCCTCAAGCCGTGAAACTTCCTGTAACTGTTTGATGCGACAGGGCCGGCGCCCAGGCGAGAGCCACATGTTCGAAACGGCCTACCTTCAATCCCTGAAGTTCTTGCAATTTGTTATCGCGGGTGTGCGCGGCGCTTAGGCGAGGGCCACATTTTGAAGACGGCCCGCCCTCAATCCGTGAAACTCTTGCGAATGTTTAAAGCGAATGTGCGCGAGCTAAGGCGCTAAGCCACATTGTGAAAACGACCCGCCCGCAACCCGTGAAACTCTCACAGCTGTTTCAAAATGAAAGTGCGCGGCGTTACGGCGCAAGCCACGTGTTGAAAACGACCAGCCCTTAGCACGTGAGCTTCTTGCACATGTCTGACACGAATGTGTGCTACGGCAAGAGCCACATTTTGGAAGCGGCCCGCCCTCCATCTGCGAACCTGCTGCCATTTTTAAAGTTTCAGGCTCGGAAGTATAGTAAGGAGGTCTCGGGCGAGACGCCGGGCCGCCCTTGCGACTGGCCTCGGGGTGGAAAAATAATGGAGGAGGAGGAGGAGGACCCCATCGTGAGGCAACAGCAGCGGAAGGCTCTTGTTGCCGTTTTCGGCCCCCTGGGCCCCTCGCCCGGGGCCGTCAGAACATCCTGGGCATGGTGGGCTCTCGGGCCCCCTGGTGGCGATCAGTGGGCGATGAAGGGTTCGATGCGTCCCACCCCCTGAGACCCCCCACCCCCCTGGGGAAGTGTGCAACACATTGCACAAGCCAACGAAGATGCGCCTGTCTTCGATGCCCTCGCGTGCCGATCAGCTCCAAGGAGGTCTGACCAAGAAGGGTCAGCATGCAGTTCTTGTCTGCCATTCGATGGCTACCTCTTCTCCCGACGTCGCCCTGCTCCCAGTTGCCTTCACGAGCGGCGAACGTATCCATGTCCACGCCTGGTCTGGATTCCGGGGCGCACGGATACGTGCCGCGCTGGGCATCCGGGAAGAAACGCCCCGTATCCGCAGAGCAGGGTCGCGGCCCAGCGGCCCGGCCCGAGAGGCCGCGAATGCGGATACGGCGTTCGCCCCCGATCGCCTGAGAGGTGCCGTCGTGGGGCCCCTCCTTACCCGCAGTGCGTGCGTGTCCATATCCACCGCGTCTTCGACGTTCCAGGAACGGGGCGCCCAGATGCCGAGGCGCAGCGGACATGGAAAGCACCTGGCCTTCTTGGGGGCCAGGTCCTTCTCTATCTCCAGTGCGCACCTGGTTTCCGGGGGGGGGGGAGCTCGACACTCCAAAATTCAGTGGAAGTGAGAGTGTTTGTTTGTTTTACCTTCTGGGCCATAACGCGCGTTATGCCGCCCCTCCCCCCCATAGCGTAACGCTTCCCTCCCCTCAAGGGCGTCCCCTGCATTGCCGCAGTGCTGCCATAATGTACCGCAGTCTGTCACACGGTGGGGGGTGGGGGCGTTACGTTATGTCCCCTACCCGACCCCCCCCCCAACCCCCTTTGACGCCCGTTCTCGCCCCAAGTAAACAGTCAATTCGCCTATCGAAGGACCCAACCATATGCAGCTGTGAGTATCGCAGTTGTGGGTATTGCCTTCAGTGAAGCTCCCTTTGGGCCTCGAATCACTGTACAAGGTGTGGGAGACGCATGCGAACTTTGCCACTGGTACCTTCGGTGAAGCTCTCTATGGGCAACCAAACGCTGTACTGGGTGATAGGGACGCATGCGAGCTTTGCCACTGGCGGCTTTAAGTAGAGCTCGCTATGGTCCACGAAGCGTTGTACACGGATGTGAACTCTGCCACTGGAGGCCTCCACGAAGCGTTGTACTGGGAGTGGGAGACGCATGCGAGTTTTGCTACTGGCGGCCTTCGGTGAAGCTCCCTAAGGGGCCACGAACATCTGTACTGGGTGGTGTGAACGCAGGTGGACCCTGCTACTGGGGCCGTCGGTGGAGCTTCCTATGGGCCACGAAGCCTTGTGCCTTGTACTTGGTGTGGGAGACGCGTGTGGACTTTGCCGCTGGGGCCCTCGGTGGAGCTTTTTTCTATGGGGCCATGAAGCGCGGTACTGGGGGGGGGGGGTTGACACATGCGAACGGTGCCATTGGGGTCTTCGGTGGAGCCTCTCAGGGGGCCACCAAAACGTTTGGGGTGTGTGCCGAAATGGGCGCGGTGGTGCCATGTGAACGCAGACATGTGGGCCGTATGATGAGGCTGCTGCTGCTGCTGTTGCTGATGATGTTGTTGCTGCTGATGAGGATAAAGATGAGGATTCATATGAGGATGATGAGGGTGAGGAGGAGGAGGAGGAGGATGTGGATGAGGATGCGGATGAGGACACCAACGATGATGATGGTGATGGTGATGATGCTGATGATGGTGATGATGATGGTGATGGTGATGGTGGTTGCCTTGGTAATGATGCTGATGACGATGCTGCTGTTGATGGTATTGATGATGGCGATGCCGACGAACATGATGATGATGACAATGACGATGACGACGAGTTGATGATGATGGTGATGATGATGCTGGCGATGATGATGATGGTGATTATGATGATGGTGATGGTGATGATGATAGTGGTGGTGGTGGTGATGATGATGAAGATGATGGTGGCGATGCTGATAATGATGACGATGTGGACGATGAGAGGAGGGAGAGGAAGAGGCGGCAGGGAGGGAGTGGCGCGGGGCTCTGTCGTTTGAAAACGAGGACCAAACAATTCAGGATGGTGGTTCGGGAAACAACTTTCTGTGAATACAGGTTGTCCCTGAGTAGTAGGTTGACTCTGCCCAATCCAGGGCACTGTTGTGTCCTATGCCTCGAGCGTCGTGCCCTCCGCAGTCCCAGGCAAGCGCTCCCTCGTGTCCCGTGGTTTTGGAGGCCATGCTGCCAGCGGAAGAGGCTTGTGTCTTGCCGTGAGTCCTGTGCAATCAATTCTGCCCGCACGCTGAATGGGACAATCATCGCCCCCCCCCTTGAATCCGCTGGGGGGGGTGGGCACGTGCTGCCGGCACGGGTGGAGCGGGAGTTGGAGGAAGAGGAGGCGGGTGAGGAGGAGGATGGAGGGGGGCGGGGCTGGGCAAGCTCAGTCGGAAGGCTACTCGTCCCCCTCTAGATTATATCCCATCCGCAGTACAGTGGAGGCCCATGCAAAGAGACACCCTGCTTGCCTCCAGGGTGCCTTGGGTTTCTTACGTTTCGATGGTTTTGCGGTGGAAGGCGCGACGTTCCCACACCAAACATCAGTTGACGTCCTGGGGTCTCAGGGTTGGGTTTCTCGTGGAATGGTTCCTGAGGTCGGGGCCCTACTGTACACACCTTGCCCGCACGCGGGCAGATGGGCCCACCTCACGGAGCCTCGGCCGGTGCCCCGGGGGCCGCTGCCGCCGAGAGGAGCTCATAGAGTTTTGGGGCCTGGCGCACGGCTCCCTGGAAGGTTGTCGCCGCCTCCCTCCGCCATGGTTTTCCTCCCTCCTTCCTTTTCCTCCTCCCTCCTCTCTCCTTCAGCCTTCATCCTCCTCCCTCCACTTCCCTCCTCCATGTTCCCCCCTGTATCCTCCAGGCTCCTTCTCTCTCCTCTACAGGTTCTGCCTCCTCCTTCTCCTTCCCCTCGGGCGGCCCCTGATGCTCAGGGTCCCGCCCATGATCCCCGTGAGGGCGTTGCCACGCCTGTGCCTATTTCGTCTCGTGCTCCAGCGCCTGCCATTCCGACGGACTCAGGTGCCGCTGCCTCGCAGGCGCCGCCAGAGGCCGCCGCGTCTGCCGACCCTGCCAGCGTGCGCGACCTGGTGGCAAGCCAGCTCGTGGGTAACGTGCCTGTGGTGACGGAATCCGCCCCCTACCCCACGACCCAACCGTCCTGCAAGTCGTCAGCGCATCGCAGCTTGGGGGACCAGTGGGGATTTGTGAGTTTGGAGTTCGTTACCGCCAATTGCACCTCATGGTTCTCGATGCAGCAGTTCCTGCCCACTACCACGGCCCACGTGGTGCTGTGACAGGAACGAAAGCTCACCAGCGACGAGGAGATACGTAAAGCGCATGCTTGGTGTCTTCGAAACGGATGGAACTCACATTTTGAGCCAGGGACCCTGGGGCCCAATGGAGGAGCATCAGCTGGTGTCGCTGTGATCGCGCGTTTTTTTCTTGGGGTCTCATATCCCAATTTTTGGAGTTTGGGTGAAGGCGAACCGCGCCACTGGAGTTGCGATTCGCCTCCCAGGGCAAACTTGTTTGATGTCGTGTCTGTTTACCTTCAGGACTGCGTTGGGTTGAATGATTTCAACCAGGACCTTTGGCCTCAGCGGCCTCCA